ATTTACTCTTTCCAGATCATTTACCAGAGACCAGATCCTGGTCTTTCTCTCTTTAAAGTATAATGTACAAAAAAAAAAAAGAAAAATTAGCAAGGTGTGGTAGCACGCACCTGTAGCTTCAGCTGCTTGAAAGGCTGAGGCAGAAAGATCACCTGAGTCCAGCAGGTCATGGCTGCGGTAGCCATAAGTGTGCACACTACACCCCAACCTGGGTGACAGAATGAGATTTTGACTCAAAAACAAATAAAGTATAATGTCCATGGTACTTTAAATGTGGTCTGACCATTTCAGAACTTCATCTTCCTTTCTTACTGATGCTGTTATTTCTGTTTAACATAGCTTAAGATTGCTTTAACTTAATAAAATGCATTTTTAAAATTACAAAATATTTCAAACAAATAGAAAAATACAAATAAATACAAGTAATATAACAAACCACTTTGTGGCCAAATTAAAATATTAAATATACATTTTTGTCATATTTGACTTTTATTTTCTTAAATAAAATGTCCAAATACAACTAAAGCCCTTCCTCTCAAGTGTTCACTGACATTTTCAGGCATTCTCATCACACTGGATTTGGAATTGTGGTCACTCCAGATGTGATTCCCTATTTGCACCTGTTCAGGACCCATTCTTCCATTATGGTGCTCAGCTGAAAGACTTTTGAAACCTCGATCTTTTTATACAGAGGCTGTCATAATAATAATGGCTAACATTTACTGAGCTCATACTATTTAAACACCTTACATCTGGCAGCCATGTGAAGCCACTTATTTTTCCTATTGTATAGATGAGGAAATAGGCATGGAGAGGTTAATTAATTGCCTGAGGTCCAGTAGCTAGTAAGTGAGAGAGCCAGGCTTTGACCCTTGCAGTCTAACTCCCAGAGCTCACTCTTTTTTCTGTTTATTTTTGTTGTTTTTGAGTCAGGGTCTCACCCTGCTGCCCGAGCTGAGGTGCAGTGGCACAATCACAGCTCACGGGAGCCTTGACACGCTGGGCTCAGATGATCCTTCCACCTCAACCTCCCAGGTAACTACAGGCGCACACCACCAAGCTCAGCTTTTTTCTTTTTCTTTTCTTTTCTTTTCCTAGACACTATATTGTCTAGGCTGGTCTCAAACTCCCGGACTCAAGAAATCCTTTTGTTTCGGCCTCTTGAATTACTGCGATTACAGGCGTTAGCCACTGCACCCAGGCCCAGAGCTTACTCTTTTAACCCCACTGTGCTGCTTATAATTAAATGAACCACAAAGATATAGTAAGCAGGAGATTGTCCAGATTCAACTAAAGTTGAAGACGCTTTATGTGATGAACACAGTGGAAAATGCCTACCCTAAGCACGTTCACATTCTAATGAAGAAAGGGTGTACAAAAGTAAGATAACCTAGGAACTGTCAAGTAATCTTAAGTACGTTTTAATTGCAGGAGATTTAGTGACGTGGAAGTCTTTTAGGGGAAAAGGTTGTCAGAAAGCATGGGAAGAATGCTTTGTGAGCTATAGGACCTTGAAGAGCTCAGGTAAATTAGAACTATAGAAAGCTCAGTCCGAAAGCTGGGGTGTACTTAGGTCATAGTCAAAAGCAGGACTGTGGTGTGATGAAAGCAATATTGCTGGAACACTAATTTGGCAGGGAAGCGGGAAGAGATTGTATTGAAGGTTAAAGTAGACAAATGAATAATAACAATGATAATAGTTCTTAAGTTTTTATTGTTTGCCAGGCACTGTGCTGAGCTCTTTAAGTGTATTAAATCAATATCTCAATTAGTTTTTATTGGGTAATGAGCTACCTTAAAAACTTACTGACACAATTCTGAAAATGGGTTTACAATAGTGTGAAGATACCTAACGCTACTGAACTGCAGACTTAAAAATGGCTAAGATGGTAAGTTTTATGTTATGTACATTTTACAACAATTTTTAAGAAACAAACTTAGTGACTTGGAGCACTAACTGTTCCTTGGTTCACAATTCTCTGGGTGAGCTGGGGATTCTAGTTTGACCAACTTGGCTGATTTCTGTGATGTTTTTAGGCCAACAGGACAGTAGCAGCAAATGTGAGTCAAGCCAGGGCTTGAAAGGTGTATGAACATCGGGATCTGCTATCTTCCAGTCTCCACGTGCTTTAGTAAACACTGGAAAAGAAATTCATTTCTGACTTTTGTTCCCAGTAACCTACATGCCCACATGGACTGGGGCTGTGTTACCTTTCACATATGATTTTTAATAAGGTCCCTTCTTCAGCCTGTTGGTAGAATATTCAGTTTCTTTCATCTTTTCTTTGCCAGTGTGACATTATTTTAATTACTATGCTGGAGACTAACTTTTGCTATTCGATTATTTTTCTATTTGAATATTTTTCTATTTAGATGTAGCATTCGTTTAGTTAACAAATATTTGACCACCAGTTGCATGCTAGATACTGTTTGAGGGCTGGAGATACAACAATGAACGTGATAGGTGAAGACCTTGGTTTTATGAAGCTTAGATTCTAGTGGAAGAGAATGACAACTTTAAAAAGCAAATATACAGTGTTTCAGATGGAGAAACATACTGCGAAGAAAAATAATCGCAGGGCAAGGGATCTGTCTGAAGTCGGAGAGGGTTAATTTATAGGGTTGTCACTGGGTTTCAGGGACTTTGTTTCTCTATGCCTTTTTTCTTTCTATAAAGTGAGATGGTTGGAGAAAATGGTAGTATTGGTTACTTCGTGGGAAGGGAAGTGGGTGCCCATGGTAAGAGAATAGAGAGAGACGCCGCAATATACTGCTTACAGTATACTCTTACATTTTGATTTTCTTAAAAAGTGTGACTTGAACTGTTTTTCCTTTTAGCTCTAAGATTTGCTGGACAATACAATACAATATTACTTACTTTGTTAGTTGCAGTTTTTCTGAGAACTTTTTAACCCTCATGAGCCATTACAAACATAGGCTGGGTACAGTGGCTCCTGCCTGTCATCTCAGCACTTTGGGAGGCTGAGGCAGGAGGATAGCTTGAGCTCAGGAGTTTGAGACCAGCATGGGCAACATTTATTACAAAAAAATAAAAAATTTAGCCAGGTGTCATGGCACATGCCTGCAGTCCCAGCTACTTGGGAGGCTGAGGTGGAAGGATTGCTGGAGCCCAGGAGGTCAAAGCTGTGGTGAGCCATGATCTTGCCACTGCACTCCAGAGTGAGACCCTGCCTCAAAAAAATAAAATAAATAATTGCATGTGCCTCTCTAATTAGAGGAAACACAAAGGAAAATAAATTTCCCTTCACTTGACACTATCTTAGTTTCTCTCTAAAGTAACAAAAACTGGGAAATAACGTACACTTAGCAGATATTGAGGGTTGATTATTTCTATCATAGAAGGATCTGGCCATAGAAATTCAGGGTTTAGTAAATTTGATTTATTCTGGATTTTTAGAAGCGTATCAGTAAATCTAGGAGCATACTGCCGCATGCAGGTTGTGTGATATCACCCAGAGGCTTTGGTAACTTAACCTCTGAACCACAGTTTCTTCATCTGCAAAATAGAGATACAGGGTCACAATTCTCTCACCGCAATTTCCCAACTTCGAACAGTTTTGTTGTAAGTTTGGCTCAAAGTCATTTGGCAGCAAAAGCCGACTTGAATCAAAGTTAGGGCTTCATTTGTCCAACTTTGTATAAATATGCAAATGTTTTGCTGAAGAAATATCAATAATCAGTTATGGGGTGCTAATCCACATGGACTGGGGCTGTATATGCATTTTATTGCCTGTTTTCTAAAACACTAAAAATTCTAAATTTTGCTACAGGTCTTGCCGTGCAGGTTTCAGGTGGATCGTGGTCCTGTGAGACCTTTCCTAAAGGGTTTCGTAAGAATGAAAGGGAATGGATGATAGCACTTGTCATGTAGCAGGCGCCTAATGGATGGCAGGCATTAATGTGACTGTATAAGTTCAGTTCTCAAGTCTGTGGGGGTTTGGTTTTGTTTCCCCTCCCCCCGCCCCCTCTCCTGAGGTCACCTGTTCTATTTAAAGCAAGGAAGGCTGCAGGGAGGGCTGGGGATGGTCACTGCTTACTGGGGAACTTTTTTCAGGTTGAGCCTGGAGCCCAGCGTGGAGTTCCTCCTGGCCTCTGGTCAGTCTCCACCCCTCCTCTAAATGCCCTTCACCCTGGTTTTCTCCCTCGTTTCCCCACGAGGGCTCTCGGGAGTGCACCGAGCCTCGGACAGCAAGGGCAAGACATCGGGGCCCGAGGGACAAGCGGTGTGGGCTCAGCTTCCCCTCGCCCAGCTCATGGGAGTCAAGCAGTGGGCACTTGCGTCGTGAGTCGAGGTTTCCACAGTGTGCCTCTTAGTGGCGTCCTCCTCCACGCCTCTCGGTGGCTGGAGGGAGCCCTTTGCCAGGCGAGACGCCTGGCAGGGGACGTGGTGGGCAAGGCGCTGCGGGAGGGGGCGGCTTAGCTTGCTCGCCCTCGGAGTGGAGGGCGGCGTGGACAGGAGGGCTGGCGCGCGGGAAGACGGCTAGGCGTCAGGCCCCGCGGACGTGGGCGGGAACTCCCGGTCGCCGCGCAGCCCCGGCCCTGAGCTGGGCCGAGCGCGACGCGCCCTGGAGCTGAGCTGGGGCGCAGGACCCGGCTGCCGCGTCTCGGGCTCTCAGGTCTT